AAGTTCAACCCTTCAAAAGTCTTGGATATATTATATAATCTTTTGGAATGAAAATAACTGAAAGATAATTTCTTCAAATTAAAAATCAAGAAGGAAAAAAGTATCCATTCTGAATTTGTCCATGAGGCAGCAAATTTTGAAGATGAGTTAAATGACTTGCATCAAGGAGGTCCAATAGAATTTAATTATGGGTGTAGGAACTCTTTCATTGAGGATACAAGGTTGATCAGTCCATTTTGAGATTGTAAAAAGTATGAGAAACCTTCTTTTAAACACCCATATTGTTTTCAAATTTCTTTTCACACTCCTGTAGTTTTAAACAGTTCTCAATGATCCTTGCTCATACTGAAGTTGATGTTCAAATATCTGGTCATTGGTAACAGTTGAACCCAAATTGATTCTTTTGCTGATATTCTTTGATAGTATTGTTTAAACTTGATTTCATCGGAAGTTGCTATGAAACTTGTATCGTAATATTATCCTTGTGTCTTCAATTGTTACAGGGAACATATGGCACTGAATCTTCAAAAGGAAGGACCTTTGTTTCTTAGATCTCTCCACAAAGGTGATCTCGTTCACTTGGTAGATTTGTTAATATCAGAAAAGAAATGGGTGAATGAAAGCCCCTCCCAGACATTGCCATTCAAACTCACCCATTGTGATGGAAAGAGTTCTCCAGATCATTCTAATGTTACAAATAGGTTGAGATCCATCTTTTTGAATAAACCATCACCGCATGACATACAGAGATCACCAGAGCATGATAGAGAGGAAAAATGTTGGAATATTCCTCATAGTGGAGTTTCAGTACCTGCCATTAAAAAGAAACCCTCAGACAGTTGTAGAAGTGAGATAATAGCCAACTGTCAAAAACTTGTAAATGAGATATTGAAAGAGTACCCAGAAGGATATAACATGGCCTTATTCCGAAAGTTGTTTCTTGATAGGTATGGCTACCACCTTGATTTGCATATGCTTGGTTATCAAAAGTTGGCATCCCTGTTGCAAACGATGCCTGGAGTTAAACTAGAGTCCTCTTACATCATTCCTGCTTGTAAGACTCCAAAAATGTTTGCTATGGACCCTTCTATTCCCAATATCCAAAAACATACTCTCAGTCGTACAGTGGCTAATTCAGATAGTGAATTATCTGATGTCTTGAGCAAGGATGATGTTAGCGACTCGCCCTGGGAAGAGCTAGGCCCTGTCACCAACACATCGAACAAAAACGAAGTGGAAGTAGCATCAAGGAGGAAGGCAATAGGATCAAGAGGTTTTGATTATGAACTGTCCCTTTCAGATGACTTGTCAGATTCAGAAGGAGAGGGCGTGGCCAGAGTGAACAAGGAAGATAGCTCCCTATTGCAGATCCTTGACTCATGGTACAGCGGTAAGGATGGCGGAAGTAGCAAGGACATGTCAGAGAATTTTGAGGGGTTGGTTGATTCCACAAATGTTTCTAAGCTATCTGTTTCATCTGGAGTTGGCACCATGAGTGGTGCTTCTTTGGGAAACCATGCCCGGAAGCAAAGACCTCAAAAGAACTACCCTTTTGTTCCAGACTCTGGTGATAACAAGGACAAGCTAATTGATGGCATACTAGGGAGCTTGAAGAAATCAAGTAAGCCAAGGTTAAGGAGATAGAGGGTTTAAATAATTAAGAGCGAGAGCAAGTCAATGAAGCATTTATCTTCTGCATTTGGAATACTAGGAAATGTAGAACCTGAGCACTTATAAGTGATGTAATCCTGATCATGCATCATTTTTTTGAGATTAGGTTTCACTTACGGATTTGATTTTTGTAAAAGGCGGAGCTAGGATTCAGGATGTTGAATTAGATTTTCCAATCCTGATTAATTTATAAAAAATGGCTTTTCAAAATAATTCGTTATTGGTTATGAGCACGTTTTGTAACATTTTTGTGTTTGGTTGTGAGTTTTTATTTTGTAGAGTAAATGGACAGAGATGAGAGTTGAGAGAGAACTGAACTTAAACTCAAAACTTTAAAAGAAAAAAAGGAAAAGAACACAAAGAACTCTTTAAATTGGTTTCTGGTTTTCGTTTCATATGATTCTTTCCCACTCTCCTTTGTTTTTTTTAAAGAACATAAAAAGTTTACAAAGAAAATCCGCAATGAATCTTACAACCTTACAGTTAAATGTAATTCTGTGAAGAACATCCAAGGAAAAATTATTAAACTAGATACAAGTATTTGAGGAGTAACGTCTTTAAAACCATCTCCAACCATGTTGGGGCTAAACTCAAATTTCCACCCTTCAAAAAACAACTATTCATGTATTTTCAGGACTCAAAATTTGGCACTTTTCATTGTCTGTATATATAGGCATCAAGAAATTAAGGATGTGTCATCCAAGTATTCTTCAATATTTTCAAAAAGAAAAGGTTCCTTGCAAACTCACGCCTGGAATTCTCAACACAATTAAGATGTTAAGTTAATCAAACACAAACACCAATCTGAGACGCGAAGCTCGAACCTACACAAATGCAAGGACAAAAAAATGGAGAATCTAGCGGGGATCCAAATTAATGTAAAACCTATCGGCGTTGCTTTCTTTTGTTCCACACGAATAATTCATCTCAAGCAGTGAATGTTTTTTTTTATCCAACTAAACTGTGATCACCGTTCACCTTTGCAATGAACCTTTCTCTTTTGTTATAAAGAAGAATTAGATAATACTTTGTTAGTTTCTTGTACCAATGTCAAAGAACAATATGGCACTTTTGATTTTGTATATATATATATAGGCATCAATTATAATAACTATCAGTCAGCTTGTCCCTGCCTGAAAATAATATATCTCGATTACAAAGGTGGCCAAATCATCCACCCAAACTGGTATGTATCTTTTAATCGTATATGCAAAATCATTGTACATTTCATGATTAATTTTGGTCTTGTCACCTTCCTGAAATCACAATATTAAATATCGATAAATGAATGAAAAATGTTGAGAAATCACGCTGTTGTGCATAGCGAAATTCAAACCCCTCCCTTTCCCAGCCACCTATTGAGCCTTATTCAACCAGTTGCGGATGTGTTTGTGAATATACCTACGACGTATAATATTTATAAGGTCTTTAAAATATATGCAAGCTAATATTATATAGGATAAATTTCCATATTAAAAAAATTCCCTAAGGATAAATTTAGGCATATGTTTAATGTTATTTATTATTTTATTATGAATCGATAAATGAATGAAAAATGTTGAGAAATCACGCTGTTGTGCATAGCGAAATTCAAACCCCTCCCTTTCCCAGCCACCTACTGAGCCTTATTCAACCAGTTGTGGATGTGTTTGTGAATATACCTACGACGTATAATATTTATAAGGTCTTTAAAATATATGCAAGCTAATATTATATAGGATAAATTTCCATATTAAAAAAATTCCCAAAGGATAAATTTAGGCATATGTTTAATGTTATTTATTATTTTATTATGGGAGACGCGAAGCTCGAACCTACACAAATGCAAGGACAAAAAAATGGAGAATCTAGCGGGGATCCAAATTAATGTAAAACCTATCGGCGTTGCTTTCTTTTGTTCCACACGAATAATTCATCTCAAGCAGTGAATGTTTTTTTTTATCCAACTAAACTGTGATCACCGTTCACCTTTGCAATGAACCTTTCTCTTTTGTTATAAAGAAGAATTAGATAATACTTTGTTAGTTTCTTGTACCAATGTCAAAGAACAATATGGCACTTTTGATTTTGTATATATATATATAGGCATCAATTATAATAACTATCAGTCAGCTTGTCCCTGCCTGAAAATAATATATCTCGATTACAAAGGTGGCCAAATCATCCACCCAAACTGGTATGTATCTTTTAATCGTATATGCAAAATCTTTGTACATTTCATGATTAATTTTGGTCTTGTCACCTTCCTGAAATCACAATATTAAATATCGATAAATGAATGAAAAATGTTGAGAAATCACGCTGTTGTGCATAGCGAAATTCAAACCCCTCCCTTTCCCAGCCACCTATTGAGCCTTATTCAACCAGTTGCGGATGTGTTTGTGAATATACCTACGACGTATAATATTTATAAGGTCTTTAAAATATATGCAAGCTAATATTATATAGGATAAATTTCCATATTAAAAAAATTCCCTAAGGATAAATTTAGGCATATGTTTAATGTTATTTATTATTTTATTATGAAGTTGTATTATTATTCATTATTGAGTTTTAATATTGTTCATTATATGTGATACCAAGTTTGAACTTTAATAGGAATTCTTTCTATGTGGTACTAAGTTACTCATACATTTTATTTTTGTTTTTTTGGTCAAGCTCATATATCTTATCATATATATCAAGTGTAATATATTGTAGTAAATTATTATAACTAAAAAATTATGGTGTGTTTAATTTTCTTTCACTAATTACTACATATTTTCTGAAGTCACAATGTTTGTCAGGTCGCTACATAATTAACTTAAATCACTCAAACCCACCATGCTATGCATTTCCTTCCAATTTTTGGTGATAAAATAATAGATAATTGACTAAGTAAACATCCTCTAAAGTTTCAATAAAAATTTTCAAGTTTTTCTCACAATTTCCGTGATTTTTATTCAATTTTTATCGATATTGATATTTCCTCGATATTTCCATCGATATATCCGTGTTTTTGGACCACCGATATTTATGAAATTCTCGATATTTTAGACCTTGCTTGAAATAATAAGTAAACAATATTCATATAATAATTAGGGTGATCATGAGACAGGTGCGTGGAATTTGGATGACACCTTAGTTGGGTCTATCATTGATCATGATACAGGTACCTGGAATTTGGATTCAATCCACCACATGATCTCTGAAGATGAGGAAATTTTTATCCTATGAACACCCATTGGTCACAGGGGGGACATCGACCGCTTAATTTGGCAATATGAGAAAAGTGGTAGGTATATCGTTAAATCTGGCTATCATTGAGTGCATCACAAAAACCAGGCATTGAACCATCAACATCCTTCAACCTCCATCACAATTACGAAGGATATTTGGAAAGCCTAATGGAAGACTCAAGCCCCCCCAAGAATCCGTAATTTCATGTGGAGGATCTTAGAAACAGCCTCGCAACCAATGACAACCTGTACAAAAGAAGAATAAGACAATTCCCTATTTGCTCCATCTATGAGTCGCATGAGGAGACACTTGAGCATCTTTTGCTTCTATGTCCTTGTGTTAAAAGTGTATGGTTTGGTGGCTGCCTAACTTATAGAGTCAACCCTCAGGAAGTCACCAATATTGGCCAATGGTTCTCCAATATTCTCTAGATCTATGCAAAAAGCAAGGATGAGTTAAGGTGGGTCACAACACAGATTGCTTTCTCCTGGTGGAACATATGGAAAACCCGATGTAATGTTGTATTTGCGCAATAAAGACCATCCCCAAAAGTGACAATTTATGCTACCTCAACTGGTGTAACCAGTTTCCTTGCTGCCCAAACTACCCATACCCACAACAACATTATGAGTTTGAACAACCATCAAACTACTCCCTCTGTCCGGTCACCCCTATCTGGAAATACCGTCAAAGTCAACGTGGATGCTGTGTGGAACCCAAGAAACGGCAAGGCCAGATTTGGAATTATAATTATAGATTCCCAATGCAAGTTCATCGCCCAAAGATAGTTGAAATCACCACAAGTTCTGTTTTGGAAGCTGAGGCTCAGGCACTTCAATGGGGAAGCATGTTTGCTCAGGAGAGGGGGAAAAGACATGTCATTCTAGAATCGAATTCAAGGTCTATGACTCAATGCCTAAATGGTAATATTGCCAGAGGGGCTTGGACGTTGTATCCCATCCTGAGCAAGGTCAAGGAGCAACTTTCCAACTTTTTTAATTGTCATTGCTCTTTGATTCCTCATTCAGCGAATGAAGCGGCCAATCTTTTGGCAAAGCTAGCAAAGGAAAGGATGCGCACGGAAGTGTGGATTATTAGACCCCCATCTTTTCTAACCCATGTTCTGAACAAAGATGGTCTCCCTTGCCCTCCAAGTATTTAGCTCCATATTTCCAGCTGGAAGGAATGGACATGTGTTAGGCTCTGCCCATGTCCTTACTCATGTAACTCCTTTAGCTGTTTTATCTTTGGCACTAGCAGTGTTTTGCTTTTGGCCCTGTTTGTGCCTAAAAATCTCGGCTTGTAAGGCCGACCGAAGGAACAACCTCTCGGCCAAGGTGCCTGCCCAAAAGGTTGTCATCCGCTTTTTCTCGTAAAATAAGAGAGATCTATGAAGGCGAAATCATCACGGCCACGGTGAGCTTTGAATGAAGAAAATAGTAACCCCTCAAATACACGGCCAAAGTGGAAAAGCCAAGGGGCGTTGCCACGTGTCATTGAGGTCCCATGCTTCATTTAATGAGGTAATGCCCCTGACTGCAGCAGGGGACCTACGATCCGTGCAAAAGCATTTAATGCGTAAGGGAAGAAGGGAAGTGATTGGAGTTAGTATATGGTGAGTAAAATCAGGATGATTAGGCGCAAAATCTTGTGACTTGTATGACTAAGTCACCAACCATCAGACCAGAACATTAAATGCTCCTCCAAGGCCCAAGACGTAGAGCCAACGATCAGGGCGGCGATCGAGATTTATGGGGGTCACACCACCATACTTCATGTTCCCAAATGTTGTCTAGATTACCCACTATTTCTGATAGACCACGTCATGCAGATATCAGCCTCGCTTTCCTCCCAGAGTCTCTTCTATAAATACCAAGCTCCAACTACATTTACAAGGAGGTCATCACCAAACACAAGCCTCCGACGGAGCAAATTATATTTTCTTGTCATTTATCTTATGTCATTTATTTTCCTGTAATGCGCTT